AGTGGTTTGTGCATGGTGAAAAGGGGCTGTGAAATGCAATGCCATCACTCCATTTCCTCCATTCTGTCTCAAGATGAGTTGCAAAAGACAACAGGTAGAGTTAATGTAGATGCCTGTGTGGTAACTGACTGAAGGTAGAACTAGAATAAGTTGCTCAGGTAACATCATGCAGCATAAACTAATAATGTAGAAACACCTCTGGATTAAAAGGAAAAGAAAAAAAAACATACTTCTGTATTTATGGTGCTTGGCTCATTTGAATTGAGTATTGGAACAAGTTCTGGAAGTGACCTTCCTTGCCGCCTCCTAGACTGTGAGCTGGACTCAGAGCCATTAATTGTGATCCCGACCATTACAGGAATTGGGCGCAGTTTATCTTTGATCTTTTCCTAAGTAATGTGGAGGAGAAAGACAAGTTAGAGCATGGAATAAATCCTTTTGGATTTGATAACAAGCAACCTGACTTCAACCTTGTGAGTCACCAAACAAAAGCTTGGAAACTGGGACATTTCCAGTTTGCATAATGTTGGCATGCAACTGGGTTGTAATGGTAGCAGACTACATTTCCATACTATACTCTTATAGTACTGCTATTTCACTTTAACTGCCCTGTCTGCCTCCTGTTGCATTCTGAGGCTTGTAGTTCAGTGAGGCCCAAGAGCTCTCTGGCTGAGAATTCTAAATACTCCTCCTTAAACTTCAAATCCCAGAATGCAACAGGAGGCAGCCAGAGCACTAATAGTGGAATAGCAGCACTATAAAAGTGTAGTGCGGAAATGTGGAATATGACAGCATACATGTTTCCAACATCAGTTACACTGAACTGGAACAAGTATTTAGGACTAGAGAGAACTACATCATCACACTTGAGACAGAGATCTGCTCTACTGAGGCAAAACACACATCTGGACATGTTAACGCAAAACGTTATACAAGTATGCATCTCAGAGAACTAAGGCCCAAGCGTTGTATTGCATTCACCGCAGAGTCTAGCTTGATAGCCTTCCTGCACTTTCATGTGAACCTGGACTATGATACCACATATTTACTTACCTCCTACCAATCAGTGGCAAGAGTATCTCTATAATGTGGCTTTGATTTATGTGGTGCCAACCCTGTACATTACATCAGGGAGTAGCACAGTTATCTATGTCTGTATAACATGCAGCCTGAGTCTTTGCAAAGCCTCTTGTGGATCTAGACAATGACAGATTTCTATTTCTATTTTTTCTCACTCTTCAAAACCTAATCTGCTTCAATCCTACTTTACCAGCATCAGCCACTGCAGGCAACAGGAGTCTGTTCTATCAATAGAGATGCAATAGACTGCTGTTCTACCCCACGCCCTTCACTGATCTCTGGTGCTAGGAAGAACTGCAACAGGTATCTTGCTTCTGATTGTTGCAGCAGAGATTGCTGGGAGAAGCAGGGTTCTGGAAATGCCAGTATGTTGCATCCAAATTCACAAGAGAACTGACTTGGGTGGGAGTCATGCCAGAAAATGCTAACTAGTTAAGTATGCTAAGTAGCTAATCTAATATATCAACCATAACTAATAAATAAAAAGGAAAAAGTAGTCCCTTGACATGAATATCTAGTCATAACTGACTGTAGGGGGCAGTGCTCATCTCCATTTCTAAACAGAAGAGCCAGCGTTGTCCAAGGATTGCTCTGGTGGTCATGTGGCCAGC